AATATTGAGTTGGTGTGTGGGAATGTAATAAGAGTGTATGTGTAGTATCCTCTAAATGAGGGTTCTTACACTTAGCAACACGGCAACACCATTTTGTTGAGGTGTCTGGACTGATGCAAGATGATTGACGAAGCATTCCATGAGTAGCAACAAATTGATTATATGGACCGGAGTGACTATGACCTTATTGTATGCTTACATTAGCTATTTCACAACTAAAAAGGTTAGCGAGAAATGCAATTCCATAGAACACCTTAGAGAAAGGTTTTTTTTTAAAATTTTTAACAAATATCCCAAAATGTTTATATAGTCATGGAAATACACCTGAAATGTTTATGAGAGTTTCGGTGTTCAAAAACTACAGAATGCTAACTTCTCGAGAGTTTCCTTGCCGCATTTCTAAAGAACTTTAAATGCTTGGGTAGCACATTAGTTTCACGGCATTAAACGTTGTGGACTTAGCAAACTGCTGAAAGAAGCTCATCTTTGGCTCGTTGATCATAATGTGTTTATTTCTAGACGTATGCTCTGCTTATGGGGCTGACTGGATGCATGGGTACTACCCCATATGTTATTTCATTGAAATTTGTTACTCATGGAGTTGTTGTATAGTGGCATAAACTCACCCCTTCGGCCTAATGATGTACAAAGGAGTTTCTTGTAGTGTATGCAATATGCATTTAAATTATTTGTGTGGATATCACAGGAATTTCTAAAAAAAAGCATGCATGGCCTATATGAAAAATGCGTAAAACATCCATGTATATGCTTGCGGCCGGTGACTAAATTTATTAAGTTTATTTTCTTCAACCTAATTAACACTACAAATTCATGCAAAGAAGCAATTGTAGTGTTTTATGTTGATGCCCTTCATGTCGCAACCTCTGTATGAATGAATATTACATTCAAAAATAAAAGTTTGTCATCATCACAAGTCACTTCCACATCATGGAAAATATGATAAGATGGCAATGACTTGAGATATTTTTTATTATCCTGTCCACTACATGATTGATATTGCAAGACCAACATGAAAATCATGTTGTTTTGTGTGCTGGGATACAGATCATGCATCTTTCATTAAAAATGTAGCTGCTACTCAACCACCAGAGCATTTGAATTGTCTTCTCAACATGCTTCAAGTGAGAGGTGAGGCACTTGTCAATACATTACATAACTAACATAAGCCATTTATGTAGTTTGCAAATATTCTCCCTAATTTATTGGGTCGCTTAACAGGCGAGCAGTTAGTTTCTCCCACTACTAAGAAAGGAGTTTTTCCTCTTGCTATTCCTCTATCCAAACAGAGCTCAGGTTTGACACAACAACCATCTAAAATCTAAGCCTCTGTATATCTATTTAATGCATTTTTTTATAAAAAAATTCCATTAGGTGCTGTAACGGCATTACTGCGATGGCCTACCGCTCCACTCGGGTAATATTATCCACCAAACAGCTAAAATTTTTCACAAACTTAAGTTGTTTTGGTTATTCCTTTTTTTCTTCTTTTTCCAATTCCTGTTGTTTGCAGTATGGAGATGCCCATGGTGGAGGTTCGTAAGTACGGGGTTTGGCTTCTCGCAAAGAATGTAAGATAATTCAAATACAATATGCAATATGCAAAAAAGGCTTCATTTGAAGTTTTTTTTAAAAAAATTCAAGGCTTGATGTTTCGTCCAAGTACAGGTAGATCAATACATCCATAGAATTTTGGTGGAAGAAGATGCATGTTCTCATGCTGGCAGTGATGCCCTTTTTCACGCTTCAGCTGGTGTGCAAGAGAAAGTTTACAAAAGGGGTGAATTCGCTGCTTCTCAAATTTCAAGCTTAGATATCTATCTCTGGAAGAAGGTGGTTGAATGCTGCTGTGATTTCACTCTTTTTATCTTTCATGTCACCAGCACATTGTGACTTTTTTGTTTTATGATTTATAGGTTGGGTTATTTCCAGATTTAATAGAGCGCAAAATAAAGCAGCATTTTGACAAGGGGGATGATGTAAGAAGATACTATTTGACACTTTTCCATGCAATAAAGTTTGTAGGACATCGATTGGTAATGCATGCATGTGATGGAAGATTTCAGCTATGGTGACCGGTGAATTCTATACCAGGAAGGAGCATTTTCCTGGGTTTGGCAGGCCATTCGTATTTAATGCAGAGATTTTGCTCAAGTAAGTACATATCAGCATTTTGCTTTACTAAATAATTTTTATGCTGATTAGCAGTTTCCAATGTTGTAGTATGCGACCTCTTTTGTTCCATTTGAAGGGTTGGGCGAAGGGCAGAGGCAAAGGATGCTGCTAGGGGTGCTTTAAAATCACCATGGTGGACTTTGGGATGTGAATACAAGGTCTCTTTGAACAGAAATCATTGAAGTCAGTCTTGTTACCGTGGCGTTTGTTCTGAATCCTGATGCATATCCCATTTATTTATTTTTTAAATTTGTATGCAGAATGTGGCAAAAATGGCTGAATGGGAAGAAGAACAAATTGAATTTATCAAAGAGAAAGTGACTAAGGAGGGTAGAGAGCAAGACCTGAAGAAGGGAAAAGATACCGCTCAGGTTGGTTATTAACCTCTCTAAAAGATTGAGTTTTTAGTCTTATGTTTTTCCAATTGTTAATTTTTTTTAAATGTTAAGATCTAAGTCTCTCCCCTTAATTTTATAATTCGTGAGGGGTTAGGAGAGAAGGAGAAAGGAGAAAAAAATTAAAACTCACTTTTAAAGTGGAGAAACGAGGTTATAAAGTTACGTAGTAAATAAGTAGAATGTGTAAAATGAGATTAAAATCCTTTACTAATCACACTTTGAATTCAGTAATTCTTTAAACTGATCTACAAAATTCCCTGCACCTGCAAATCCCCTCAATCCAAAAATGGGATTCATACAAGATATCATAGTTTGACCATTCCCATCCTCCCTCTTTTGTTCACCATGCGTGTAGGTGTGTTTATTTAATATCCGTTTGACATTAGCATTAGAGTTTACCTTTGACATTTTGGAAAAGCTGTCTAAAAATAGCTTTTAGCTTTAGCGTTTTTCATCATTAATGAACATCAGTATTAAGTTATTATGGAGCATTCAGAACTCAAAACACCAATTACAAGCGTTGTTCCAAATTGACTCTTGGAGTATGTTTGGATAAGTGTAATTACAAGACTGAAATTACTAGGGTAGTAATAACATGCCTCTTATAGTATGTTTCGAAAGTGTAATTACACCCCTCCAATCACACTTAATTACATGCTGATTTTGTAATTACGTGGTCAACCAAACCAAACAAGATGAATACACCAAAATCCGAATCACACGCGTGTTATCCAAACAGACTCTTTGATGTGCTTGTAGATTGCATTGGATGAAGCTGCATTTCTATTGGATTTAGCTTCTGTTGACGGGAATTGGGATGATTGTGTGGATCGAATTGGTGAGTGTTACAAGGACGCCGGGCTCCATGACATGGCCAATTTTGTAGTTTGCAGAGACTAAAGTTGTGTGCTATTATGCAAAATAAAATAAAATAAATCTCTGCCTTGGGTTGTTTCAGAAATGTGGTTCCTGCACTTTTACTTCACTTTCTTCCATTTTTTTGTATGGGAGTTTCATTGTGTTTCAAGGATCATTAGCAGTTGTTCGGAGATTTGTTGAGCAATATTGGATTTTGGGTGTTCGTTGGAAATGTTGGTGTTGTGATGTGAAATTATTGAAAAGCGCTGTTATTTAAAAAGGAGGGGGATATTTGAAGAAAAAGTTGGTATTTCTTTTAAAAGTTGGGTGAATTTTTTAGAGTACTTGTTGTAGTTGAAATTAGGGTTTGTTTCGCAACTGGTTTAGTGTTTAGTTTTAACATTTTGAGAAATACCTGCATTTAGTTTTAGACTTTGTGTTTTCAAACGCTATGTTTGGTAGTAGTTTTAAAAACTTGGGGGTGGTTTGGGTGACATGAACCCCCCATGTCATCGGCCCCGATTAGGGCATCTACGATGCTACGTTCGAAAATTTGATGGTTCCTACCTCCTTATCCCTCCCGGCAAACCTCCCATCCCCAACCCGGTTCGTACATACCCCTACACCCTGTCAATTGCATGCCGCAAGACTTAGTTGATTTTAGAGTCAAAATTTGACTTCAAACTCAACTAAATCTTGTGGCATGCAATTGACGGGGTGCGGGGGTATGTTCGGGCCGGGCCGAGGGTGGGAGGTTTACCGGGGGGTTATGAACCATCAATTTTTTGAACGGAGCGCTGAATATCGGGTTATCCCATGACATTGAATCTCAATGTCATGGGAACCAAGGTGTAAAAACTTAACTTCAACGTTTTGAAAAATGATATCTAATGGTAAATTTTAGTATTACATTGTAACATTTCAAAATTTAGTCGCACCATTTAAAAATTATCTAAAGCGCTAATGCAGAGAGAAAATGCTATTTCCGAACTCATCAGAAGTCAACGTACACCATCAAAATATTTTTCTAAATGCTAACATTAATCAAAAGCATTTAAAGGACACGGTTTATGTGATACAGAACCTCAATATCATAGCATGATCCGGTGCTCCTACAGTGTTTCAAATGGAAAATCATTTGTTTTAACTTTCCTTAAACTTCATTGCCTTTGTCGATTGACTACAGTGATCACTATTGCCAATCGACCAGGGGAGGGATATAGTGGATAAAAACGATCAATTTTTAAAATGAAACATGAACCATACCCTTTCTCAAATAAGGGTGTGGTTATACAGCTACAAATTGGAGTTGCTAGAATGAAAATCAATGTTTTGCCACAAACGCGGGGGAGAAAAGTTCGACCAAATGCACCCCAAGGCTTTTTTTGAAATTTGTGAGATTCCACGCCTTTTATCCGACGACATTGAAATGTCACTAAAAAGCTTGATCGAACTAAAAATTACCCGCCACCTTGTCACAAAAAAAAAGATGGTTTTTTTTGGGGGGAGTTCTATTGGCCTTCAATAATGGTTGAAACTGGAAAAAAAATCAGTGCATGACCACACGGGCGCAATTCCTTCTCCAAAAGAAAATTACAACTTCCAATTTATGTTCTAATCACACCACAGCTAGAAAACATGAATTCATACTCTTTGGTAATATAGAACAAGAAATAGAATCAAAGTCAGGAAATCAACACAAATAAACTAGCTAACCTATGTTGAAAATTCTTGTCAACGTTACAACAAAACCAAACAAGTATTGTTGACAACTATTTAGGCCAATGGAGGAGGGTATTGCTTGGCCTGCTGTTTAACTCTCCGATCATACTCCGTCCGGTCCTGCACGCAACCATGTATTGCCATCAAACCACATCCCACCCACTATGCAAACACATTGCGTAGTCCCATTTCTAATGTGTGCGAGCATGTACTAGCCACAAATGATAAACCCCATTGCCCTTTATATCTTTTTTTAGTACTATTAATTCTATAATTTAGAGCTTGTTATCTTCAACTTATTCTTATTACTTATTAATTATTTTTATTGGAATCAAATCAGACCAGATCATATCAAAAACAACTTTAAATACAACTACAATCAGATCAAATCAGACAGATCAAGTAAGAACTTATTCCAATTAGATCGGGTGAAGAGAACAAGGCCTTAGTATCTATCCATACATATTTTCCCAAACTACTGAATCACAGAGAGTTAATGCCCTCATTGGCCTGTGACCTCCCATTTAGAAGAGTAACAGTTATGCCAACGACCACAAGGTCTTGGGCAGTGCCCTTTTAACTCTAATCCATATTGTTTTTGTAAGTGAAGGTCACTCCCGCTTACCTGAATAAAAAGTTGATATCCATCAGTTTGAGCAGGATCCGCTGGATTTGGCTGATCTAACAAATCTTGGATACCAATCAGAATCTGCTTCACTGTAATGGCTGGTCTCCAACCCTAGAAGGTGGTTTTAAAAATGCAATAGGCATGATTCTTTTTCTGTAAGAAAACAAAAGAGTTGGAATGACTTTAAAGAAAAGGTTAAAGAGACATACACTGTCTTCATTGAGGATTGAAAGACAAACTGTTCCTGAAGGATAGATATTGGGGTGGAAAAATCCTTGGGGCAGTTTGCACTTTGGTGGTTTGCTTGGGTAGTCTTCACTAAAGTGCATTGTCAGAGGGTAGTAACCTCCATCCCAAATAGTCTGCAAGAAGAATGATTACCAATTATATTATAGAGCTGCAAAGTGGTAACTACAAACTATATAATGAAAATGCCTTCGAGGTCTAATTTTCTCCATGCAAAAATGGACCCCTTGAAGAGCTGAGATTAGCAGATGGATGCAATTACAATTTTACACCAGCAAGTAAGATCTACATTTCAAATTAATTAAAATACTACCATACCGATGTACCACAAATATATTACTGATACAAGGTAATATTAAAAGCTACAATAAGAATTTACCACTAACATATAACTAATATAATACTCGAGCTGGGGGTCTCTTGGAAATAGTCTCTCTACTTTCAAGTAGGTCTGTTTATACATACCCTCCCCATACCCTAATCTCGTGGAATCCAACTAGGTTGTTGTATTTTCTTTTTTAGGTTGTTGTATATTACTAATGAAAATTAGAGGAACGAAAATAAGCTAAACGAAAATAAGAGAAAGATAAGAACTTTTGTGATAAAGAGAGACAGGAGGTTTGAGAAAACAGAAAAGTAGGGACTAAATAGCAAGAAACTAGGAATCTGAGGCAAATGAAAGAAAAATTAATGAAGTAATAGAGGATGACAGGCTACTCACACATAGAGTTTGGAGCACACTACTTCATGATACTAACATATATCAAAAGATAAAAAGGTTCGAGAAAATATATTTTTAAACCACTTAAAGGGTTTAATGATAAAAAGAAAAAGGAAGAAATGATAAAAGGAAAAAAATTGTGCACATGACAAATGAGAATTTGACTGAGAGTCTGAATCTGGAGATAAAATCTACCTCCCTTTCACAAACATAACATAGGTCACTTCAACTCCCATTTTATACGAGAAGCTAATTCCTACCGAACGGGATAAGAGCATTGTCCGTGTTGAGATTCCAGAGTTTTTTTAAGGAAACATGACATCATTGTTATGAATAATTGTAGCACATGATTATCCAGACTTTATAATGAGATTGGTTATTTATCAATCTTTACAGGTTATGTCATATTTAATGACTCTAGGTGCTATTCAGTATTCATGTCTATTTATAGTGTATTATTTTATATTTTAAACTAATTCTTAGTTAAAAATCCTAAGGCTTACGCATCAATATACCGTGACGCACATACCTCACCTCTTAATCTCTCATATGATATAGTGGTTTATGATATTGTGATTTAATGACTACGAGACATGTTCAGGCCCCTATACTTGACCCGCGATGCTCAATAGCACCACATTTTTTATGGTCCATCACTAGCCTTTTCCACTTCCTTTGGCAATTCTAGGGGTAACTTTCTTGGTTTTAGAAGTAAAAGATAGCAATTTTATTGCAGACCGAATCTTTTTAATCCTACTCTATTTTTAAACTATGCCATCAAGTTTCCTCTGCAATACATCTCCCACCTTGTAAGTATGGGAGGTGTTTAGAACCTAAAAATTTATGATCGAGCATTCCTTTTGTCAGAAAAGGAAATCATTTCAAGAAAGAAAGGAGAAGTAGTAAGTAATCTCAGGAAAAGGAGAAATAATGTCATAAGAGTTTAGGGTTGAGCTTAGGATTTGACTACATTGAGGAACTGAGGAGGCAAAGTGCAATGAAAAACATGTACATAGGAGTTGAGGAAAAAGATGATAGTTTGGGTTTTTAGATACTCACGGGGTTGAGATTTTATTTGTGATAGTTCAATTACTTGAGTTAACTTTTATTTTATTTTATCACTCGCAGTTCTCTTTAGGTGGGAGCCAATATATATTTATATGGTGGATTTTTGGTTAGCCATCATTACCCAACACACCCAATAAGCCACTATCTACTATTGAGTATTGATAGCACCGATTGAAGCCAAAAGTTTGGTCATGACACTAATGTCAGAGTGGTAGCAAGCAAGATAAGGTTAACAAGTTGCATCAGTAATTTGTATTTTGTAGGTTAGGGTAAATGTTTGATTGGCCAAGGCACTGTGGCGAGAGTATAGGTGGTAAGTGAACCTGAAAGTTTCTTTTAGGACTAAAACCCCTACAAATACTACTGCTGCAACAACCTACCAACCTACTCACCCAGAAGGCCAGAATAAGGGTCTGGGATGGGTGCACAAAGATGTTATCCCTACCTAGAAAAGGTATAGAGGCAATTTCCAAAAGATCCCAGATCATAGGAACATTCAAATAACAATTATGAAAACAAAAAAAGATGATGACCAAAGAACATTCAGATAAAACAAGACAATTAAACCACTTCACTAATTATAGCTACCCCAATAAACCTAAGTCATGCACAGCGCAAGAAAGAGTCAAAGACACACCCACTACAAACCTAAACTATAACTCTAATACTCGAGTCCCAAACTCTCCTATCTATGGCCATGTCCTAGGTGAGCATAGTAAGATTTCCCCAACTTTAATTTGTGTTCTTTGGATACAAATCGTGGAAATAGCCTCTCTACTATCCAAGTAGGGGTAAAGTCGCTTCCAGACCCCGCTTTGTGGGATTTTCGTGGGTTTGTTGTTGTTATTTGGATACAAATGGGTTGCATTCTTGCGGGTGTGATCAACAATGAAGGTTGTTATGAGACTGACAATATTAGCAAGACAAGTGAAGAATGCTCAATTTCAGGACTAAACAAGCATCTGTCATAACATGTCTACAAAAACACTACATCCATAAGAAAAACTGCAAAACATCTCCAACTTATGAGCTTTATAGAAGAAGCGGTACTCTTCAAATTGAAATTCGAAAGCAAATCATGACACAAACACTATCATTGACGGAACTCGATACCAAAACAAACAACGATGAGACACACATAGAACAGACCTATGAATTAGAGGACCAAAATCAGTGTAACCTAAATAAATACTGAGAATTCAAAGCCGCGAAATCAAATTACGGAGCAATAGTGATGACATACATACCCCTGCCTTTCCAGGAATACTGCAATGCCACACCATCATGTTAACTGTACCATCCTCGCGCGTCTCAGGCCTAGCAACGAAACCCTGAAAACCGGAACGAATTTGAGAAAAAGGAAATATAATCTCAGACAGATAAAATCAACCAGGGAGCAAAACAGAGGCCGGAGAGTGATCGAACATGGGGGTGATCCTTGCGCCACGACTTCCGCTCCTCCACCAGACGACCGTGGGCGATACCGGCTGACATGTTTCTTGCGATCTTCACCGGAATTTCAATCTCTATGAGGAATTCTTAGGGCCTACAAGAAAGAGAGGGACAACAGAAAAGGAGCTTCACAAGAGCGATCGAGGGTTAAGATTATCCAGACACCAGAGAGAGTCAGGAGTATAAATATACACTCCGTATTAGACTAAATTTAAATAGGTTCCGTGAGCTTTCTGTATTTGTCCACACTTTTGAACTGTTCATCTAACTACTTTGATTCATCAAATTCTCTCAATATGTAAGCCTAAATATAGTCATGTGTGATCTTTTTTTATTTGTCTTAACATATAGATTATTAATATATACGAGTAGTTTTTATAATTTTTTAATATACAAATTACAAGATAAAATGGATTAAAGAAGTGCATTGGATAGTGTGTAAAAATGAAAGTGGACAAATACAGGGGGACGGAGGGAGTAGGTGGATTCCAAATCAGGGGAAAAAACAATCTAGGGAGATGGACCAAAATAGGAGTAAAAGATATGTCATATGCCAAAATAGGAGTTAAAACTTAAACTCCCCTAAATAGGAGTAACTAACTTAACAAGACCTCCCCTAGCTAGTATGCACCAAGAATATCATATTTTCTCTTCAAACGCCTTCCATTAGCCATCCGAACAAAAAAATCTAGATTTTTTTATTAAATAAATTATTTAGTCTTCATATTTTAGCCCAATTTCTTGGTCTGAACAAAAATCCACCCAAAATTTTTAAAACCATTTCTTTTGAATTCTATTTAATTTCCCAACAAAGAATAGCAAAACTGCTTCCTTTATTGTTCCTCCTCCTTCATCGTCGCTATAGTAAAGAATACTCTTTATACGAAGTGCCATCGAAGCCATAATACCAACAATTACAATCCATAATGCCAACTATTATACTAAATAAGTACAAATATGCCACTGTATAAGGTAAAAAAGAAAGCAAAGTGCCAAACATGGCACTGTCTAAGCACAAATATGCCAGTGTAGAATGTCAAAAAGAAAGAAATACGCAAAGAAGTAATTTGATAGTGAATTAATTACAAATTTACAAATTTGATTCTCAGAGTGTCTGATGGCTAATACGCTTGTATTCAGGGATGACAAGAGATAATTTTGGATATTCATGACTACTTTAAATATTATATAGTCATTCCAAAAAAAAATATTATATATCGAACAATAAAAACTAAAGCCACCAAAATGAAAAAGTTGTGTTAGATTGGGGCATCGGATGAAGTAGGATCATGAAGGTTCAATGTTGACCCCCACATGTAAAGCTTCTCGCTTAATCAAATAACAATCACCGGAAAGGTGTTCCCTCACCCATACTTTTTCTCATAAAGGTCTAATTTGATTTTTGTGGCCAAGAACAAATAAAAAATAGCTAATTACTCCTATTTAGGGTATTTTATGTTTGAACTCCTATTTTGAGGATATAACACATGTTTTACTCCTATTTAAAGGGTTTTATTAACAATCTATTGGTTTATCCCAAAAACTATAAAATTTTAATAGTTGAGAAAAATATTTTGAACGCATCATAATTTTAGTTTGGATGGACTGATTTCAAAAGCGCAATTAATTTTCAATTTGAAAATGTTTAGCCGAAAAAGTGTGTACCATTTGAGATCCACTTTTATCATCCAAACTTTATTTAAAAAGACATGGATTCAAAAGATGGTTTTCTCGTCTATGCGTTAATGCATTAACAAATGACAGTTGTTCACTTAAAATGATAATGACTCAATTACATTAAATACTTACGCATGTTCCGCATTGTTAACCTAAACTGGTAATTAACATTACACGGTATTAACCATAATATTACAAATGACAATTAATATTACACAATATTAACAAATGGCAATTAATATTACACGGTATTAACAAATGGTAATTTTTACTACATTAACAAATGACAATTAATATTACACAGTATTGACAAATTGTAATTTTTATTAGATTAACAAATGTCGATTAATGTTACACAGTATTAACAAATGGCAATTAACATTACATGGTATTAACCATAATATTACAAATGGCAATTAATATTACACGGTATTAACAGATGGTAATCTTTATTGCATTAACAAATGGAAATTAATATTACACGATATTAACCATAATAATTAGGTTAAAATGGCGGAAAGGAAAGTTAATTATTGTGGAGTGGAAATTTATATTACTTTTAACACACAATGCCTTTAAAAACGTTATATTATTAAACTAAAAAATAATTATTATTAATCTAAAAAAATGGTTTAAAAGCTATAAATACAGTTCCTTTTTTATCACACAGTATTTACAAATGGAAATTGTTCACTTAAAATGGTTTTTCCCGCCCATGGTTGATTACATTCACAAATGGAAATTGTTCACTTAAAATGGTAAGTTGCCGAAAATAAAATAATAAATATTAAATACTTACGCATGTGCTTAATTTTTCATGAGTTATTACATTTACAAAAAATGGCAATTGTTCACTTAAAATGCTAATTTTTAGTACATTAACAAATGCCAATTTGTATGGAGTATAGTAATTGTCCAAAACCTATAATAAATACTCTTCCTTTAATATGACATCGTAATATCCAGTTTTAAAAGCTATAATTAATACTCTTCCTTTTTTATCGCACGGTAATAACCAATTTTACCACGGAATCATTTTAAAAAAGGAACAAATAATATGACACCGTTTATAATTGGTAATTAATTACTCCCTCCGTCCTAATTCTTTCTTCCCAGTTTAACTTTTCCCCATTTTTAATTTTTGGCTTTGACTTCAAATTTTACCCTCCTTAAAAAAGATTTTTTGAATTTTTTTTGCAATCATTCAAAGTATAGAGTTAGAAGATAATTGGTGTAAATACATGAGAGTATTAATGTCATTTGTCATCTTTTTTTTCTAATAGGAAGATAGTTTTAGAATGGAGAAAAAAGGGAAGTGGGAAGAAAGTTTTAGGACAGAGGGAGTATTAATCTAAAAGATAATTACTATTATTATTAATCTAAAAAAAATAATCTAAAATAATGGTTTAAAAGATATAATAATAAATATTAAATACTTACGCATGTGCTTAATTTTCCATGCGTTATTACATTTACAAAAAATGGAAATTGTTCACTTAAAATAGTAATTTTTTTATATTAACAAATGCCAATTCGTATGGAGTGTAGTAATTGTACAAAACATATAATAAATACTCTTCCTTTTTATCACACGGTAATAACCAATATTAAAAGCTATAATAAATACTCTTCCTTTTTTATCACATGGTAAAAAAAATGATTTTAAAACGGAATCATTTTGAAAAAGGAACAAATAATATGACACCATTTATAATTGGTAATTAATTATTAATCTAAAAGATTATTATTATTATTAATCTAAAAAATTAATCTAAAATAATGGTTTAATAGCTATAATAAACGAACACTTTTATCACACGGAATAAACGAACAATTTTATGACACAGTATTAACAATTTTAAAAGCTAATTATTATTATTATTATTATTATCATTATTATTATTATTAGGTCAATATTTTAAATCGTAAGTTTAAAATAAAGTTAAGTTAAACAATTGCAAAGCCTAAGATTTAGAAAATTCGAAGTAATTAAAAAAGGAAAGTGTTACAGTTATACACTGAATTTCGTTTAACAAATAATTATGGTAAGACTAATTATTTTACTCTTACCAAATTTTATTATACAATTACACACCCAAATTTATAAATTATATGTTGTGTAACACCCCAACCCGCATGACCCAAACCCGTGAGACAGCGGACCGGTGTGCCACTGAATTGGTATCCGAATTTGCGACATTTTCAAAACAATTTTAAACAAACGTTGTTTCAATACATATAAAAATCCATCGGAGTAATTTAAAATAATGCGGAAGTCTTTTTAAAGTCAAACAACTTGGGATCTTGCCCGAAAACGTAATAAGCATTAAAGTTAATTAAATAAAGCATAATCAACAGATTTAAGAGACTGCGACGCCATCGTACATCTCCTCCTCAATGCCCTCTGGGATGGGCTCTAGGTTCATCTGTCTGATCACCTACGGACAACAAAAAGGAAACAACGCTATCCGCTCAGCATTGACGCTGAGTGGTACTCCATTGTAGCACAAGAATAAACATAATAATTCAACAATTAAGATCGTGCATATGTTTATCCTTTTAATAAAAATCAATTCAACTTTACGTTCGGTTCTTTAGACGGTTGACCAACAGTCAACTTATTTTCTTTCTTTTCAAAACGATTTAGGTGTTACAGGTTTCTCATGAACTCTTTGACCACCGGTCAAACCAATTTAGACTTTCACCAAAGTCAAACCACTTAACATTTAATGCCTATGACGGAGATAGCCTCAATCCGTAATACCGAAGATGACCTCAATTCGGTGGAGGTAGGATCCCTCGGGCGATGGCCTCAAACCCAAGATCGCAGACCCTCGTGCGCACGTCTTAACCTCAC